TTATTATTTTTGTGTGAGTGTACCGTCAAATCAGATCTGACTGGTACAGGAGGAGATTGTCCCTCCTTCCCCGGCAGAGCATCTGGTGGATTCGAACGGCGCGCCTCTGGGATTGTAGTTGCAGCTCCTTGCCACTAGGCCACCAGAGCTCCCCTTGGTTTGATTTTTTAACTTGCATCCTTGGATCTGATGGCAAACAAAGATGCTTGAAATGAATTTTGATAGGAGGAGTTCTGTAGATGAAGGGTTATATTGATGGTTGATTAGAAGGTTAGATACATAGTTGGGTTAAATGAATGAGTAAATGGATAAATAGTGAAATGAATAAATGAGTAAATAGATAATTGAATGAATAAATGGGTAAATAGATAGATAGGATCATGAGTGATAAATAAGGGACTTGGATAACCAAGCTCTGGTGGCATAGTGCATAGAGAGTTGTGCTGGTAACCCAGAGGCTATGCCTCTCTTAAGGTTCTAATCCACCTGTGACTGCTCACAAGAAACATGAGCACCTCCTCCCATGTTATTAATTTACAGCCTCACAAACTCAAAGGAGCTTCAGCTATAAATCAGTTACAGCTCATTGGCACTTAGTAATGAGTAGGTGGTGACTAAGTTTGTCAAAGAATGAGTGAAAAATACACAATTGAATGAATGGGCAAATCACTGAACACGTGAGTGAGTGAATGTGGCCATATCTTCTGGGCTCAGACAAAACAGGGAAAGCTCCTTTACTTCATGTAATTGGGTTGTTCTCTCATTGCTCCTTTGTCCTGTGGAGGACTTTGAGACTTTAGCTTTTGATTTCTGCTTCCCTTCAATGTGAGAAAAAAAACAAAAACAAAAACAAACAAAACCAATGCCCCACCCCCGCAAACACACACACACACACACACACACACACACACACATACACAAAAGCAAGCTAGGAAAAACACACTGTCAATAAAATAAAAAATATATAAAGAGGATAGAAACATGTTCTCAAAGTGAAATTGCCCCCTGTGGGTGGACTCGCATCTTGGATTCATTCTCCTAAACTGAAACATGTGAGTGAAAGACTGGTGATTAGTACAAGGAGCCTTCACACGGCCTTCGTGAAATATTCTAACCGCCACGTGTCCTTCCAGCTCATGGAATCATCAGGATCATTTCCCAGTCCAGTGGGTTGAGTAAGACCACACTCTTCCCTTCAAAAATCAACACCCTGAATTCCCAATCCAAGGACTCCCCCGAGTGGTCTGGGGAATAGTCCTGAACAGACTAGGATAGAAGCCCCAATACAGATTCCATTTTCTCAAGAGAGAGACATGAGGCAGGGACCAGAAGACAGAGCTGATCTTAAAAAAGATCTTAAAAAATCACATTGGAAAGGGTGGTACTAACAAATGAATGGATAGAGAAGCTGTGATATATTCACACAATGGGACACTATGCTACATTGAAAAATAAGGAACTCATGCAATATTATTCAAAATGGGTGAGCCTGGAAGACATTATGCTGTGTGAAGTATCTCGGTCACAAAAGGACAAATACTGCATGGTGCCACTGTTGTAGAATGGGACTGACATCAGGGTTGGGGTAAGACTGAGAAAAACTGGATAGATTATGTATATTGCATTGATGAGGGAGAGAATAATT